CACACATACTCTGGGGTACGATTCAATTTTTTAACTTTTCGATTCGCTGCAGTTTGCCACGGCAATACATCGCTGTTACAATTTTCACGGAATAATTAAATACTCGTGGACGCAATGAATGAAACGCTGCAGAGGGAATTGAAATCAATTTCTATATATGTACATATATATTTCTTCTCTATTCAATTAATTAATTGATTCGCCTCCAGAGTTTGTTTTTTTCTCGCTTGACAAAATTGACTTTATCTTTTTATTATAAGTTCAATTATCACGCGGCGCTGTTAATCATTTGTTAATCGTTGTTAATCATTTGTTAATTGACTGTTAATCATTTATTGTTCTTATAATTAACTATGTCGCGACACATTGACGATGACGAATTCGGTTTATCCAGTATTCCGTTGGGACAAAGATGAACAAAGTGAAGAAATAGCGCTCGTCATTTTCCTTTTAAAGATACTTTTCTCATGGCATGACTTGACGAGTGTGTGAGCATTCGCGTTACTTTTACGACTGTTGATAAATTCGTTGTATGTATTCCCACGGCTCTCTGCATCAGCACAGCGAATAGAACTGAGTCGGCCTACGTATGTTTCTACGCAAATCGATGAATAGCTTTATACGGTCATTCCATTTCTACTGTCTGCATCAAAGAATAAACTTAATTCGTTCAATTTATTTTTTAAAAGAGAATGAATTTAAAAGAAGATAGTGAAATAAATTTAATAATTTAATTTATGTAAAATAATTAACAATATAATGACTAAAAATCGATTTGTACTAATACTCTAATAGTTTAATTTGTTACATCGCAATTATCTTATTCCATTATGTACATTGTTAAATTTATATAATGTCATCAAATTATTCCCAATTTGAGTTGTTTTTAATTACAGATTAGAATTATTTTCATTTACAGATTTTAATGTGTTTATCAGCATCATTAAGATGCTTACGAGCATAAAAATTATTAAATTGCTGGACAATTTAATTTGTAATAGTATCAGTAGTTTTGTCGGTATAGCGTTTTAAATCTGAAAAATCAATTTGGCGCGCAGTTTGGCAGGATTTGATACATATATAAATTTACACCGAATTAAGTATTTAAGCACTGAAGATTCAACTTCGACCGTTATGAGTTTTATTTCATATTGGTTGTGTATTCACATGTATGATCCAATAAGATTCTCATTGTTTTATTTTTAATTATTTCTACATTAAAAATAAAAGAGCGTACTAAATTTTAATAAATATTGGTTTGAATAGTATTAATTAAATATTTACTAGATATGCAAATATATATTTATTTGGTACAAGAATCATTAATTTGATTTAAGTATAAATTTTTTTTTACTAGTATTTATTGTAAATATTTAATACTATTTAAGTAAATACTCATTAAAATTTTGTAATTTTTTTTCAGTGTATAAATCGCTCTTACTTAATATATCTCTTATTAAATATATCTTAATTTAAATAATATAATACAGTTAAACAATTCAATAAATATATTAAATTTGACAAAAATTTACTTTATCATTTACTTAGTGCAAAAGTTAATATGAACACTGTTTACTTCAAAATAATTCAAAGCAACTCCATATAAATGAGTTAATTAAATGCGGTTATTTTTTTTTAATCACATGTTTTAAAATAATACATTTTGACACGCTTGGAAGTTAAAAGCATTAATATATTATTGAATTTAAGGAATTGTTTTATAAATTTGATTTTTTAATATTCAATGTATAGTTATAATTTAAATGTTTTAGTCTGATGTAATTTTTATCATTTTAATTTGAGAAGATTTGGAAAGGAAGTAACTTCGCTGGAGGGTAATTTTATACACACAAGGCAGGAAGGAAAAGCGCGAGCTCTTTAGAATCCTCATCCCTCGCGAAATATCGTCGTCGTCTCTGTACTTATATTCGTACGAAGCTCCGTGATCCTTATTTTGTGGAAAGAGCGAAAGCTCTTAGCGAACTTTCAACCGAAAACAGCCGTCTTCAGCCACAATAGACGATCTCCCTTTGCCGTAGACATTATTTTCTTCTTCCCGGACGAATATAGAACATCTCTCGGAGAACGGTTTACGATTTTTGGATGGTCCAGTTTCTTGAATCTATCGCAAATTATGAGATAGCATTCGGTCTATCGTCGATAATTGTACACGCAATCGCATGCATATACGAGCGGCAGAATCGTGGCCGCGGAATCGTAAACTAATGTATACCTATGTTTTTGTTTTCTTTGCAAGATCGAGTTGTGCGGGAGCGATGAGGAATGATTACGCGAAGAATGATTGCCGCCATGATGCATCACGAAACATAAATTTCGAGATATTGACGTTTCGGTTATTCACCTCGATACAACGGTTTCTGGCGCTTTTATTTTGTCAGTTCAGTTTGACAGCCCGCATCGAAATTCAGCTAAATAATTAACGAGCAAAGTGAAACTGTTTGATCTACGTGCGTTGCATACTTTTCGTTTGTTGAAAAAATTGATGGTAATAGAATAATAGCGATAAATTTTGCAAAAGCCGGTTATTGTATGGTAACTTGTTAGTAATTTAAGAATTCTTATTTATGCGAATTGCCTTTGTGAGCATTAATGCGATTTTAATTAAAATACTTTGCGAGCAAGAGAGAGAGAGAGAGAGAGAGAGAGAGAGAGAGAGAGAGAGAGAGAGAGAGATCACGTTAAACTTGGTTATGACACTTTAATTATTAGGAATATTTTATCTGTCACGTATTAATAGCACACGTATTCACGTACACGAGCAAAAGTTACGAGATTTAATTATATAATTAATAAACTTATACGATCGCATTACGTTCCGTTACAGCGCCCTACGAGGGTGGAATATGGAAGGTGAGGGTTCATCTACCGGAGCACTACCCTTTCAAATCACCTTCGATCGGTTTCATGAACAAGGTCTACCATCCCAACATTGACGAAGTCTCGGGTACGGTGTGTCTAGACGTTATAAACCAGGCTTGGACTGCCCTTTACGGTACGTATTCATTTAGCCGCGTAAAACTGTGCTCGACTAGTCTGTAAATAGCGCACGAGTACCCGCGCAATTTTCATTTAGCCGTCTACTTAACCTTTTCATTACAAGTAACTTAATTTAGACTTTACTTTGAGAGTTACAACGTGAAAGTTGCATGCTTTCCAGCCGTACATGTATATAGTACATATCTTGTATTTATTACGAGTCGGGCTTTGTCGAGCAACAACATGTTGAGGAACGACCTTTAATTCGAATTGGTAATTGGCTCCGAAATTTCCTTAATTGGTATTCGTATGGTAAAACCAAATTAATGCAGTTTTGCTGAAAGTTAACGTAAACGTAATTAACGGGTTAATTTTTCATTTTGAAAGTCAAAATCCGAGAAAGCGGAATATAATTTACAATTATGTGAGGTTGTGAAAAATATTTATTGTAAACAATTTTTAACAATGTTTGGTGCGTAATTGAAAAATATGTCCGAGTCCACTGGGATTCGCAAATGTGCCAATTAGAGTTAATATCTGTCGAAAGACAAATAGTGAAGAGACTACGAACGATTACTAACGACATTTTTGCACTATTTCGTTGTTTCAGACTTGTCAAATATTTTCGAGTCTTTCCTGCCTCAGTTGTTAACATATCCCAATCCAATCGATCCCTTGAACGGCGATGCTGCCGCGATGTATCTTCACAAACCCGAAGAGTACAAGAAGAAAGTGGCGGGTGAGTATGTTACAGGCTTAATAAGTATCCCCCTTAAACAAGGCACAAGGATTGGAACGAGGACGGTGGATCATTACAAGACTTTTACGATCAGCCGTCCATCGGTCCGTGTCTCTCTCTCTCTCTCTCTCTCTCTCTTAAAGTATAACTTCCCTTGTAGTTGCTTCCATTCTGCGCGCGTGTGTGTACGCTCGAAACATCATTACCATCGCAATGTAATTTCCCGTCTCTGACTTCTCGGCAGATTATGTGAGGAAGTACGCGACGGAGGAGGCGCTGAGGGACCAGGAGAACGGCGGCACCGGCAACGGGATGTCCTCCGACAGCGAGTCGTCGATGAGCGACTTCAGCGAGGACGAGGCGCAGGACATGGAGTTGTAACCAAATATATTACCATCCGCGCGTACCCATATCCTTAATCATCTCGATTCCCTGTAAGATCCCCGATCGCTCGTCCTATTACCAAATAGATACTTACACCCGAGACTCCGAGTCTCACTTCTGGTGACGGCGACGAGACCCCTTTTACTACTCGTCGCTGCTCTCGTCGCTCGTCGCTCGTACATATACCGAGGGGTTGGTGATCCCCGGCACGACGAGAGTGAAAGTGACGGAGATGAACGAGGTAAAAACGGAGAATCGCGCTCTTCTCATCGAGCGCATCTCGAGGGGCGTTTTCTATCACGACAGCGATGTCTCTCACGGTCGTCCAAGCTCTTGCTTGAGTTAATCCGTTAATTATTCGCTGCGTTTCATTGTCATATTTATGATGACGACGACGACGACGATGATGATGTTGATTATAATGTGCAACATCAACGAACGAGACGTTGGCACAAATGAAATCTCGCAATCTTTGTAAACGTCTCGAGAGTCGATGCTCTTATTTTTCAGTGTGAAGAAGAGAAAAAGGAAGGATATGAAACGAAAAGACAGCGAAGACCATCGTTGGTATTTACGGGTTATTCATTGATCGACGCAATATCGATTTTCGGCCGGTGCTTCTACTGCGTATATATATATGTATATATGTATATATATATATATATAT